AGTTTCTTCGGGCACATAACTTTTTAGAAAATTGCCTCCAAAAGTGACGTACTTTACGATGGACAAATCGTGTTCTAACGTTGCGGAATGTATTCGCGACGCCCAGAAGGGGCCCCAGCTCGATTCGCGCGAGCCCACGCGGCACGGTTTCGGAGGAGATACGGAAAACGACAATTTGGCACTTCACACATCCTCACCACCAGCTAAAATATTGTTCACATGATCCCACCAACAGGGAATCACATCGAATGTGTAACATGATTATATGCAAAATATAATATATATGTATTATATATATATAACCGTTTTCCTACAGATTTCTCAATGCTGTTTGATACAGATATACTTTGAATATATTTAAAGTATATTAGGAGAGGCATGCCTGATAGAGATGACGTTCAGCATCGTTCTATTCACACCCGTACTGTATTATGGTGGTCTAAAATGCGACATATTTTAGTAGGTGCAGTTAACTGACATCATTTCTTTACGTTGCCCCACAGAATCACACATAGGTGCTCTGAATAGGAGGTGCCAGAACAAAGGCATGGCAGTATCGCAAACGACACATTAGTACGCCTTCTATACATACGTCAAACACGATATGTCGCTTTTCATTAGATATAGGACAGATCTTTTAGTGCAGATATCTACCGAGCATAAACGAGCGGCTTGTATGGAGAATAAGAATTACCGAGTGTGTGCAGAATTCTCCATAAAAGCGGATATATATATATATATATATATGTTGAACCCAGTCGCTCAGTGATCATGAGCGCGTCAAGTCGGATCTGGCAATGGTGACGACAAACGCAGCGTCTGGTCACGTGATTATCACGAACCGATTGCATTCGTGAAAAATAGAAACATATAGGTTTGTAATTGTATTCGACAGATAATTATCCCAATGATGTGGAATGTGACTGTTTAGATTTTGTGATGACGTTGGCACCCCATAATGACGCACGTCTGATAATTGCGGATTTCTTGTATATGGATTTTCGTATAAGTGTCGAATAAGTGGTAATTCACCGATATGTACCATGCATCCTGCGTCGTATCTTGCCAAACGTTTACAGAATGGATTGACTGCTAATATGTCGGACGACTGTAGGTTTTTTGAGCTATATATATATATATATATATATATATATATATATATATATATATACTACTACTACGTACGTACGTTAGTTACGTAGTACGACGTACGACGTACGAAGTAACGTAGTAAGTTAAGTTACGTTACGTACGTAACGTACGTACGTTC